GATAAAACAAAATGTATTTTGGATATATGTATAGGGTTTGTTGCTGGAAATGTTAATAGTGTAAGTAACAAGTAAATATGGGGAAAAAAATTATATTCATCTACCGAGATATATTACCAAATTTAAATGGTAATTGGAGAGATAAATGTTTTATATTTCCTAGTCCTCGAATGATTAAATGCCTGGTTCACGCACTGAATTTGTTTTAAATATGTTCAAAAGTAATTTTGATCATAACATATTAGAAATAATTTTAACAAGGAAAGCAATATTGTATTAACAAATTTAAAAAATGTTTATATGATATGACATAAGTGCGATAATTGTTCCATGTATGTATGCATCATAGCTTTCTATTATACTTTAGTCTACATCAAGGGATTAATGTTCAAAGTGTAGTGTATTTCTGTAAGAACACAGAGTAATTGACTAATACTGTACTCTTGCTCATATTTTAAATGTTTATATACCATAGTAATATATTCAGAATATATATAAATTTATATATCAGTTAAGCATCGTTTAATAAACTTGGCTTTATTTTATAAGATTTAATGTTATTTATGCAGAAATTTTCAAAAATAATACTCATTCGTAATATTTTTTTTCAAGCATTAAAATTGTCTTGATTAGAAAATAATGGGGTGATAAAGTACCTTATATAACGAATATTAAAGGGTTTGTTTATCATGAAGTTTATCTGTTCTTAACTATGTGCAGCAGACAAGATAATTACTTTAAAACCTGATGTATGTGCCGTATTTACACTGTTCTGTTCTGACCATTTCCATAATAAAGCTGAAAACACGTCTGTGATGCCCATTAAACATGTAATTCCTAGAAAATACTTTATTTCTGTCTATGTTTATTCTCAGCACGTGCATAAACTATGTCAAAGTTTTCTAAGAGCATCAGTCAATAATGTCTTATAAATTGTATACATTAATATGTGGAATACATAATCAACGTTTATATATTTTTTAATGTAAAAATTTATTAACATTATGTATATATAGATGTGACTGAGTTCATATAGTTATCTAGCATATGGTTATGTGGTACAATATAGAATAAAGATATGTTATGTCGTTATAGAGTGAATATAAACAGGTTGACAAGCACAGCTGTCTGACGAATAATGTTACAATTCCGTTATTATCTACAGGTATATGATCGCTGCAGTATGAACTAATAATTTTCTCAGTGTTTTTATATGCCCGAAAGGGCATATTATGTTATACCCCTGGCGTCCGTCTGTCTGTCCGTCTGTCCGTCCGTCTGTTAGCAATTTGGTTTCCGGAGCATAACTTAAATTCTATTTGGTCCACAATGTTCAAACTTCATAGGATGATTGTCCATATTGGGTAGAAGACCCCTATTGATTTTGAGGTCAAAAGGTCAAAGTCACTATTACCTTAAAACTGAAAACAGTTTCCGTCCGTTAGCAATTTTCCGTCCGTTAGCAATTTGGTTTCCGGAGCATAACTTAAGTTCTATTTGGCCCACAATGTTCAAACTTCATAGGATGATTGTCCATATTGGGTAGAAGACTCCTATTGATTTTGGGGTCAAAAGGTCAAAGGTCAAGGTCACTATTACCTTAAAACTGAAAACAATTTCTGTCCGTTAGCAATTTGGTTTCCGGAGCATAACTTAAGTTCCATTTGACCCACAATGTTCAAACTTCATAGGATGATTGTCCATATTAGGTAGAAGACCCCTCTTGATTTTGCGGTCAAAAGGTCAAAGGTCAAGGTCACAATTACCTTGATACTGAAAACAGTTTCCGGAGCATAACTTAAGTTCCATTTGACCCACAATATTCAAACTTCAAAGGATGATTGTCCATTTTGAGTAGAAGACCCCTATTGATTTTGGGGTCAAAAGGTCAAAGGTCAAGGTCACTATTACAATAAAACTGAAAACAGTCTCCGTCCGTTAGCAATTTTCCGTCCGTTAGCAATTTGGTTTCCGGAGCATAACTTAAGTTCTATTTGGCCCACAATGTTCAGACTTCATAGGATGATTGTCCATATTAGGTAGAAGACCCCTATTGATTTTGGGGTCACAAGGTCAAAGGTCAAGGTCACTATTACCTTAAAACTGAAAACAATTTCTGTCTGTTAGCAATTTGGTTTCCGGAGCATAACTTTAGTTCCATTTGACCCACAATGTTCAAACTTCATAGGATGATCGTCCATATTGGGTAGAAGACCCCTATTGATTTTGGGGTCAAAAGGTTAAAGGTCAAGGTCATTATTACCTTGATACTGAAAACAGTTTCCGGAGCATAACTTAAGTTCCATGGATGATTGTCAATATTCGGCAGAAGACCCCTATTGATTTTGGGGCCACAAGGTTAAAGGTCAAGGTCACTATTACCTTGATACTGAAAACAGTTTCCGGAGCATAACTTAAGTTCCATTTGACCCACAATGTTCAAACTTCATAGAATGATTGTCCATATTGGGTAGAAGACCCCTATTGATTTTGGGGTCAAAAGGTCAAAGGTCAAGGTCACTATTACCATAAAACTGAAAACAGTCTCCGTCCGTAAGCAATTTGGTTTCCGGAGCATAACTTAAGTTCCATTTGGCCCACAATGTTCAAACTTCATAGGATGATTGTCCATATTGGGTAGAAGACCCCTATTGATTTTGGGGTCACAAGGTCAAAGGTCAAGGTCACTATTACCTTGATACTGAAAACACTTTCCGGAGCATAACGTAAGTTCCATTTGGCCCACAATATTCAAACTTCATAGGATGATTGTCCATATTGGGTAGAAGACCCCTATTAATTTTGGGTCACTAAGTCAAAGGTTTAGGTCACAAAATACCTTAATACTGAAAACAGTTTCTGGAGCATAACATAAGTTATATTTGGCCCTCTTTATTCAAACTTCATAGGATGATTGTCCATATTGGGTAGAAGACCCCTATTGATTTTGGGGTTACAAGGTCAAAGTCACTATTACCTTAAAACTGAAAACAGTTTCCGGAGCATATCTAAAGTTCCATTTGGCCCACAATATTCGAACTTCTTAGGATGATTGTCCATATAAGGTAGAAGACCCCTATGGACCTTTCCGGTTTTTCGTAGCGTAACATTTAGCCACACCTTTTCCATTCATTGCTAGGTCAACTGCTCACAAACAGTATCACAAGCATAAGCACGTGCTCTTTTGTGCAAACCAGGTCAACCAGTGACTATGTATTATCTCAGAGTAGCGATTGGATAACAAGTTAGCCAATTTACATAAAACTGTAAACACCGGAAAGGTCCATTGATTTTGGGGTCACAAGGTCAAAGGTTAAGGTCATTATTAATAACTTAAGTATTAATCAACCTACATCTGTAAAATTTTATAGGATGAACAGCTAATTCCCATGTCTTACAAATGCTTCATCCTTACTAAAAAAAACACTTTCGGGCATATAATGCTCCGCCTAGCGGTGCTCTTGTTATCCTTTGTCGAAGCAGAGTTCTTAAAAAGGCATATAATAAAATAGTCCCTTGTCACAAAAGATGATATCATAAATGAAATAGAAATGTACTACAAAAATTAAAAAAACTTTTAAATTGAAAGCTGCATTTTATTAATTTCATTAAAAACCTAAAATAGCTACATTTGTTTAAGTACAAGAAAGAACATCGAAACACGAGGCTATCTGATTTGTACGAGGGGGCGTAGCCCCCGAGTTTTAATCAGATTGCCGAGTGTTTTGATGTTCTTTCTCTTTTGTATCATAGTCAAACATTAAAACACGTTCCCTGTTGTCACAATATGAAACCCCGGAGAAAAGTAACCAATGAACGAGCATCTAAATATAATATATTTGTAACTTTCCCTTTCTCTGCCGTCACAATAAGTAAACCCCAGCAAAAATGAGCCAATCAATGGGCATGCTCTGGAGTGGGGGTAACTAATACCTGCACTTCAGTTAACGCACGGTGCATGTATATGTAAACTAATTTAAATCGGACACATGTTCAACAGAAAGGTCCCCAAACTATGATACAATAAATTGATAACGCATCGACTCTTGTTCTTCTTGTGGTGTCCAGACGATCAAAATGAGCGTTTAAAGCTTAAAGGTGAGCAAACCGCATTGTTGCGAAATTGAGTGGCAGCTGTGAAAAGTTGTCCCGTACTTCACTTCAGTGTTGTTATATTTTTCTGGTCCTTCGAGATCATTGATGCCAGCATTATTAAGTGTTGAGAATGGAGTACCGCTCAAGCCGGTACGAGGGGACGTGAGGGATGTTGCACATTTTCATTATCCCTCAGGTACAGACTCAATCAAACCGAGTCTGCAATTCTCTTGTAATTTTGTTGTGATTAATGCATCCGAGGGATCACTTTGTTTCCAGATTTTTAAGTAGCAGTCCGAATTTAACGGTATATTTCTGCATTAAATAACGGATTGTTGTAACTTAGTCTATATATGTTTATTTTGTATATGAACATGTGTATAGACAATGACTTCTATAATCTTTTTTCCTGTTATGTTATACGAAATGACATGTACTATCCTTTTGTGTCGTGTACCTTTTGTACCTTTCTTGTGATAACTGGAAGAAGACTTATTGATACACTAAACATGTACTCATTTAAAAAAATAATGCACATATTTAAGTGATTTAGTATATGATGTGTATATGTAACCATTTAAAGTTTATCTAAAAATATGTTGATGAAATAGTTCGTATAGTGAATTATTTTAAAAACATTGTGGTATCCTCCAAGCTTAGTTATGTCTAACCTCCAAACCGGCTATTTTATAAACACAAGTGCTTATTCGTTGCCAACAAAAATGTTCCAGGTTAGCATAAACATCTCTGCAGACTCACCAGGCCCTATTGTACTGATGGTAGCTCAATTTCTGTATTTTGATATTAAAATCCCATAAACGTTTTATGAACTGCTTCAAATTCAAAACATGCCAAATTCATTTCACAAATTCAGCGGGTTAAGGTTTAACTAAACATTTGTATGCGTTGATATTTTCATACCTCAATGCAAGAGAATGAATCTGCTACAATTCATGAGAGAAATAGAGAGATACTTATCGCTCGATAGAAATTCCGATACCAAAATCTCTGGCTAACGAAGAAAATGGTCTATATCTTTTCTTCTCCTTCATTCATGAATATAGCACGGAGAAAAGATGACGATGCGTAGACGTTTTATGTGAAAAGGGAATTAAATGTTAAATTGGACGTAAATCGTCGGGAAATTCTAATAAAACTACTCATTTGAGGAGAAAAAAATATTGAATGAAAAATGTAAAAACAGCAGAAGAAAAAACAACAGAATATTACAATTATTATGAAGACTTTTGGAAAATAAAACTAAAAATAAAAATTACTTTTTGTGCATTTATATAGGAGTATTTGTACATATTTTATGTGTTTAAAATATGAGGTGGTTGTGTATGGATCTTGTAAATGTTACCATTATAAATTATACGTATCTCTCCATATTATAAGTGGAACAGCAACTAAATCAACAAAAAAGATATTAACACAATAGCTCCATAGGTTGACTTTGCTTTTGTCGTTTTAAAATAATTTGAACAGTGCAATGGAAATAATAGCTTTTCGTAATATAAAACATAGCTTTGTAAACTTGTTAACGTATTTTAAGCAGTCAATATATTCATACATTTATATGTTGACCAAAACAATGCATTAGATGTTAAGATTAGATTCGGGAAATGCATGTTGCAGCACGCACGTAAATCATCTTAACGTTCACATTTCTATATGAGGATTATCTTATATTTAAAACATACAGGGATATATTTGTAAAAACATAATAACAGGAATTCTTAAACTTAACCTGAGTTTTGCTTAAATGCAAGCGAATTAAAAAAATTCTAACATTAACACTTATCGTTATAAACAAATACACCATAGTTTAAATGTTTGGGATGAAAGAATACATGCACGTGTAAAGAAAGACTAAATAAGTATGCTTGGATGGATATTGTGTTATGTTTGGAATCTGATAATATTGTGTTTATAATTAATTTGCCATAAGAAACCAGATGTTAAGAATTATACTCGTTACATTATTTTGATCAGTTATCATCATAATAAAATATGTTAACTATGTCTGATGATTATATAACAACTATAAGACAGAAAAAACAAAAAACAATAGTTCACTGATGTTGTAAAGATTTTGAAAAAAGTTACATGAATAATTTCTACATGACATTTACTGCAATGAACTCGAGAAATTCAGTAGAGATACTTCATCCAAATTCTACAACGGATTTTTTCTCAATTACGGATAATGATTTGGAATATTTATTCAGCAATTTGTCGAATACGTCATTATCACCGGAATTAGACTCAGGTCGGGATTTATGGCGAGAAATTCCGCTTGGTATTGTTTTAACATTTTTATGCCTTTTAACAACTGTTGGCAACGCAATGGTGTTACATGCAGTAAGGACTGAGCGACGTCTTCAGTCGGTATGTATATTAAACCAATAGTTTTACAGAGATCAGTGTTTTAAATTAAAGTCATTATCAATAATTACAAATATAAGTAAACTTCTTCAGTTAAACGCTTTTCATTGATTAGAAAGTAAGTCGACTTTTAAGCATTATTTTCGTTCGGTAAATGAATGATGATAAATTGCATATTACGGGGATTAAGACCTTTTTGTTTTACAATATTTATCTTCGTCTAATTTGAAATAATACAACATTGAGTATTACGCCCATCTATACCGCCGATATATTTTTGATTTCATTTTGATTTCATTCTAATTTTCTATGCATCAATTAACAGCATGTCTCAAACAAATTTCATATCTACATTATACTATTGGCCAGCTGCAATTATCCGTTACATAGTTGTCGTCAATATAACAATATATGCCGTATTTTGATATATCATTTCACAACGTGTCATTTATTATTAAAAACTGATTTTTAGGAAATATTAGATTCACTGTAAACACACATTTGACGCTTAAGCACTTTATTGATAAATTTCGTAACAGCTCAATTCCAATTTTTAAAGTACTTTGAAATTATTCTTAGACAAATTCAAGCTGTTATAACAGTCATTTTTGTTTTTTGTTTGTTTTTGGTATGATTAATTTCATAAGTATATTCATATAACATATAAAAATATTGATGTAAAAATATCAGTTTTTTTGTTATAAAAAATAGGTTAAAAATCTTACAGCGTATTTAAAAAAACAGCAACAAAAAACATGGAAAGATACTCACAAATACTCTTAATAATAAGGACAACAAATTAAGTAAATATATAAAGACCATTTGTACTAATACATGGGATGCATTTTTTGTTTTCTATGTATAGAATTTAGAAAAAAAATCAATGTAGTTTCATATATTTCGTAATAATAAATGCACACCTCAGTGTAACATGAGAAACAAAATCTAGTTAAGCGCGACTCCATATTAGATAAAAATGTACAATTTTTATATGATGAAGAACCCATTCATTTTATCAACAATTATGTTTACTTCATATCACGTCTTAAAGGCCCATTAAACCTGCAAAAAATTAATGTTTTGATTTGCAAAATCTGATTTTTTGGTCGCCTTAATTTCCTAAACCTTACTCGTTTTCGGTAGAGCTGAGCCATTTTGTATTATTATAAGATAATTATTACTATTATTATTATTTATTTATTTGCAGTTTTTGCATATTTTTGCATTTTTGCAATTAGTACGGTTGTAACAATTAAAAACATTTTGTATTGGAGTCAAACTACTAATTTGTTTGTATTTTGCTACCTTTATTACTAATTATTTCACACTCACCACTATCAGGTGATGAGCATATTTCATATTCTCAAATCATTATTTCAACATAATAAAACACATGTTTACCCTTTCTACAGAAAGTCTTAATGTGCCTTTAGTAATAAACAACGTACAATAAATAAACGCATGTATAAATATCTTCTTCAATATTTTGATGAAAGGATTGCTCATTAAACTACTAGTATTGTTCTCGTAATTATGAATATCTGAAAGACGTAAATTATTGCTAAGAAATACACTTTTTATTTCACTTGTTCATGAAATGAAATGAATGAATATATAAATACACATAGGTTATATAAATTACAATATAATCAAGTACACACATATTCAAACATGGTATGTTTATAGCTTTCATTGTTTTAGTCTTTTACTTACTCGGGACAATGTTGAATGCAGCATGTTTTACTCTTATAACACCAGGATGCGTTACATTTATTCAGTCAAATTAAAACAATCGAGTGTTCCATATATTTTTTGAAATTTTTTAAATCGTATCTTTCACACATATTCATTGAGTTATTGCATACAAATAAATAAATAAGAAAATAAATGCAAATGTAACACCTATTTTTTCTACTATGGGATGATAAATCAATACCATCATGTCAAATGCCATATATTTTTACAAATAGTATTTGATTCTAACCTTACGAGGTATCTCAGGAAATTTAAAAAAGGAATCTCGATACAATAATTAAATTCTATATTGGTATATGGGTGTATTCGACATGTCTGAATTCTATGAACTTTAAGATATCTTCAGAATCCATAGTAGATTATAAATAAGAGTACTACAGTTGTGTCTAAGTTGCATGTCAGTTATAAAGACATAATGACGTTTATGAAAACCTATGTGCCCCTGATATGTATGACTCAAGATTTAAGGAGTGGTCAGCTAAGTGGAAAACCCACCTTTAAGCAAACTGAAGTAAGCCTTTGCAATAGCAATCAGAGGCGGCCCAGCGACTTGATAAAAGCCAGTTGTGGATGCCTCTTTTATATTGATATAATAATACTAATTCGCAAACAAAATGGAACAATAATTTAATGTTATGACTGATATCTTGTTTTAAACTAAAAAATAAACAAAAGAACAAAGCTATACAATGTGATTTTCTGTACAATCATTTTATTTAATAGTCAGATTACTCTTATGTTGAATTTAAAAACACATTTTCACAGATAAAATATTGAGAAATTATTACAATTTCAAAACTGTCTTAATTATTATCAACGCAATTGTTTTAAGTCGAACTTAATGCTTAAGATCAGTATTTTTGTTTTCATATAAGATCATTTTGTGCATTGAGTATAGTTTTCATTTTACCAGCATTCATTTTTCGCCTACCCAATTTCATGTTAGATATATGCATATTTATTCATTTTGTACTATCGAATACAATAATGTTAATTTAGACATTTCCATATAAGCTTTAACTTATAATTGGAACATTATGTTGCCGCTACATATTCACAAAACAAATACAATTATTCCACGGCATACATTCAATCTGTGAATGAAACTTTATTCCTTCAGTTCTTTCGTCGATATTTGCATAGTAAGATAAATTTGCTCTGTATCACACTCGATATATTTGTTGTGTTATGATTCTGACTGAGTTTTAATACTTCACTTCAATGTTGATAATATTTCAAAGTGTACAACCCTAAAAAATCGAAGTGATTTTAAGTGATACACGTTAATCGCGTAATGTAACTCTACCAGATATTTAAGTCTGAGTGGGGCTGCATATCCCGAGAGGGCTGTAGCGCTCTTAGATAACATGTATGATGCATATAAATCACATTAAAATTAAAAAATATATATATGTCTAAGTATAAAATTAAAATTTAAAAAAAAAATATATGTCTAAGTATAACATGTTTGAGAAAAATCTTTAATCAGCTGGGCGCCGCCATTTTGAAAATCTTGGACTGGTTCTATATTTGAGCTAAAATTACATTTCATGACGCATTAAAACATATAATAAAAGCGCCTACACAATTCAGACTGTTGCTAAAAGACGCGACGTTCTTCTGTCCTAAATTACCTTTCCGGTAGAAGTATGATGTAGAAAATTAGTTAATATTATAATAATCATTGGTAAGAATTGTAGTAACGATGATTAACATAAAAAACAATCTTTTGATATATATTTTGAAAAATCACGTTTATGTGTTACGTGTTATCAACACCCATGATTAGAGATTAACAAAAATGCCGATATATCTGGTTTATATATTGAAAATTTTATGCTTGTTATTAAATCAAAAGGTCTTTCCGTGTAATAAGTACACGTCATTTCATATTAAACAGGTTTGACCTTTCGATAGCAATTAAAACTAAAGGGTTAAATAGAAAGTCGCAGACATGGTTTGAATAAGACTGTTGAGATAATTGTAAAAATGTATTATCTCTCATGTACCTAGCATCACTGTAAGCCGACACTGAAAGTTTTAAAATCATTTATCATATTACATAAAATACTTTTTTGGTTAAAGCAGAACTATTGAAATACTGAAATCATCAACTTGCAACATAAAACCATTACAAATATGTATAATACGAATGCTATTTCATATCATTATCATATAGTTTTATATTTCAAATAATTTACAATTGTACCAAATAATGTTGTTATTAAAAATATTTATCACTAACAAAAATAAACAATCGATTAAAATTAAATGAATTGATGAACAAACGTTTTGATATTAATCAGATACTGACTAATAGATAACTTATAAAAAGCATACAAAAACAACTGAATTAAACATAAGATACCACAAAAGGAGAAAAATATCTTATGATGTCTCTGTATTTTATATAGGCATATTCTATAATAAGATCAACCGGCTTTAACATCAATTATGTATATCAAGAGGAAAAGTAATGACTGAAATTAATAGCTTGATTTCATAAATTCTTACAAAAGATTTGTGAATACAGTATCTGGGAAGAGGTAACCAGTCCGTAATAAAATGATCCCTTAATCAGATTGAGACTTTATTCCTTCAAAATGTCCTAGATTACTTTGTAATATCTCATTCAAGAATATCATCTGGGGGATACTTTCGGAAATTCAGTCCTTGAGTTCATTGTCATAACACACGATTTTTACATTCGGAAAAATCCGTAATTCAATTTTCTGCTTCAAAGGAATAACAAAATTGGAATAAAAAGAAATGACAGTTGCTAATATTCCTTTGCAATTGGTTTGTTTATGATTCATTTTTTCAGATCAATATAACAAGGCTGAAAATTTCAACATAATACAAAACAAGGCCCAGGGGAAATATTAACGCTGATAAGGAATTTGAATAGGTTCCAAAAGTAATATTCATAAATAGTCGACACGCATTGCATTCATCTTCACTCCTTAAAACGTGTTATTTATTCATCATTGTTATGTTTACTAATGAATATCTGCATGGTATTGGCATTGTTGAAAGAAAATTATACATAAAAGATTTCAAGAATTAAAATTTCAAGCGCGAAAATATGAGTGCAAAATACTTTGGACATGATATCTATTTGGCAGCAAGAAATTTTGAAAAATGATGATAAAGATAAATTTTTATCATTCAACTTTTCTATTGGACTGATATCTCTTCAGTTAACCGATACTATTTCATTAAAAGCAGAAACAGATTTTAAAACTTTAACTTTTCCTTATTCCCTGTTAAGCAACAGTGTATTTGCATATTACCAAAATAAATAGACACATTCATTGTTAAACGTTTTACAAGTTCGCATTGATACAAAAATTATGTATGTTACATTATAATATATCAGGTGCTGATTGTTTGCCTATCTGTGATAGTGTCATATCATACTCATTTTATTGAATGTCTAAGTTATTGAAATTGTATATTTCGTTTTGAGAAGACATTATACAATATTCAATATCTCAATAATAATAAACTGTTGTAATAATAAGTTGTAAATGAGAAACTGTTATTATTTAGTCTTCATTATTTAGTCCGCAATCTTGTCAAAACAATATATTGTTAAGTACTGTGATAAATCAAATGATCTGTAGTTGTTTTGTGTGACAACACAAAACTTATATTGTTATAATGTCCATGGCGATGAAGACAGACGTACATTTTGTTTTAGACATTTTTTTTCTATGAGACAGATAAAATAAAAACTAACTAACCAAATAGATACCGGTTCATTTGTGTTTAAACAAACAAAATGTTTTTAATGTAAAATTGTTAAGTCTTCTAAATAAAGCATTCATCTAATAAAACAATCCTAGAAAATATTCATTTTCTTTTGTCAAATTGAGCAAAAACATATTAAAGCAAACGTAGCATACCAAAATAAGAATATGTATTTCATCATTTTTATTTCTTCCTGCGTTTTTTTTTTATTTATTAATTTGCGTGAAATAAGTAAAAATATTATTTCGGCACATTAGATAAATGGTCTTACAATCAGCGATATTACAATGTGATGTTTTGTCTGGTGTATCATTGTAAAAAATCAATTGGAACTAAATTCGTAAAAAAATCATTAAACACAACGCATTCCAAAGTAAGACGCTAACTTGGGTAAAGTCAGAAAATAAACAGCCTTTAAATGATCAGCTATCAAAGAGTGTATGTAAATAAAAAAAACCTACACAATGTACAAATTAATCAGGAAACAGTATTAACCTGAATTTTTCACTGCCTTTATGCCTTTGAAGCACGTTATAAATGCCATAATGTGAAAGGTTAGTAGTTCACGTATCCGTTTTTTTATCAGAAACATTTTCTTTATTGTGTTTCAGCATATGTATCTTTTTATAAAATAGAATAGAAAATGAGACCATGTTAGAGAGCCGTTATAAGAATGAAGCTTCGGTATTCTGTATTGAAAAGCAGTTTTCTATCATTTAATTATGAATGTGTTTGTTATACTTTGGTTTGCTTGTAGACACTAATAGACAGGAGGATTACACTATATGTATTTTTAATTTATGGGGAAAAAAAACCCCATCTTATCTTGAAACCATAATACTATATAATTAACAAATCTTTCTAAGAAAGATAATCCTTAATATTATCCTGAGAAATGTAATGTCGAGGTTAAGGATTATTTATTATCACTTTCACAGGGATGCGATATTCATTTCCTTCTAGAATCAATAATAAGATAATAAAGTTGCTTACGATCGACGAGTATTTGATTTTTCAACGCCAGTTTTGATTCGGGTGATTTCGATACAGATCACATATTCCCAAAGGTTAATTTCAGACGCATGTATAGAACGCATTTGCTGCCTTAGCTTATTCTACTTGTCGTTTATCGTTCATGTGTCTTTACTATTTGTTATATTAACTGATCAATATACGCTATATGAATGTTCTATCTCGTTAAGTTCACATACTTTATTGCATTTTGTAGATGTTTTATTACGACATGTGCATTGATCAATGCCCATTTCGTTACGTTTTGTTCGTTTTACCTCACATTACATTACTTCTATACTCTTTGTGCATTGTTCGTTCCATTATAGTATGTAGATTTCTTTGCGTCTTGTACAAACTTCCTTACTTTTTGAGTTTCATTTGGTTATATGCACAAATAAATCACGTTATGTTCATGCTTCATTGGTGTATGTACATTAATCATTACGCAATATAAATACTTCATTACGATGTGTATTGAACATTGCGTGTGCTCTCTATTTTGTTATGCTCACACTTCAGAGCGTTATGTAGTTCGATCATTGTAAAGTGAATTCACTGTCTTGGTTATATAATCATTTCATTGTGTTATATATATTTTTGTGCTTATATCGTGATGTGCACTCTTACGAGCTATTCCGTTATCACACTGCTTTGCTGAACGTTACGTTGTATGCTATTTAACATGATCTTGTTACAGCAAAATGTTTGACATAACAAACTAAGCTGACATAACAAACTAGGATTATCTCGTATATTAAAAAAAGAAATTATCAACAAAATATAATGAAACTAGTTTCTTTTTGCATTTGATTGTAATTATATTGCGTATATATGTTTGATTGAAATAAAATATTGTTTAAAATAAACTTAACTAGAACCATTAAACTAGACCACATCCTTATAAAGAGTAAACATGATATAATAAAAGAAACGAACATTTGACTGATCCATTTTACGTTATACATCCTTAAAAATTCTAAAACATTGGTCAAAAATATCTTAATTAAGGGTACATCAAACAAAATGATCGAAATAATACACATTACCTATAAAAATGTATATATAGCGAAGAATAGAATTCAGTGACTGCAACAAATAATACGCAAAACGTCATGAATCTGGCAACTTCACTTTATTAAATGTTTAATACATATATAGCAATGAACAGTACATATAATACAATCATCAAAAGAAAAAAGGAAGGAAACTTGTGCCGAAAAAAGATAGAAATCGCGCATAACATTATGACATAACATAACATGATAATGGGTACATAATGAAAAACATGCATAATGATGTTTTATAGGCTTAAATGCGCATGGCGGAATTTATATTATACATAGAACAACGTGAGGGATGTAACATCATAGAGTGATACAATGAATAGTTAAATGATATATGCCGGCAAAAATCTTGGATTAACTCTTTAACTTTTAACCATTATCATGATTAAAATTTGCTTTCTCCATTTTACAGCATCATAAAATATTTAGTTTTATTTTATCATTATTCAATTTGTGTTAAACCTTGTAAACATGCATATTACTTGATCAGAAGTCATTGAGCACGCCGGCGGTTGGGGCTATTTCCTAATATTGTTTCTTTATATTTTCAGGTCAGCAACATGTTCATAGTGTCTTTAGCGATTGCTGATCTAACTGTTGGACTCTTTGTAATGCCAATAAGCACTGTGTATATTTTCACACATGATTGGCTTTTTGGTGTTGCTGTCTGTCAGATATGGATAGGCATTGATTATACAGCCAGTACAGCGTCGATTTTGAATTTATTCATATTGAGTCTAGATCGATATTGGTCTGTTACATCACCATTGAAATATATCAGGAAAAGAACTAAGAAACGAGCAGTTTTAATGATAACCGGAGCTTGGCTCCTGTCATCACTTTGGATCATTCCTATTGCCGGTTGGCATCATTTCTTTCATGGAGGAACAAGGACTGTGCCAGCAGATGTATGCGACACAGAATATGCCAAAAATAGCGCCTTGAAAGTGATTACGGCTTTCTTTAATTTTTACCTCCCTCTTGCTGTAATGTATGCCCTTTATTTCAAAATATTTCAAGAGATCAGAAAACGCTCTGAAATGGAACTCGGGCAGAGAAATGTGAAAAGTTTAAACTCGTACGTATCAACAATGACCTCGTGCCATGATGACCTCTCTTTTAGTGACCAAAATGTAGATACCAATTCTGAAAATAACAGCGTTATTGACTCACTTCATATAACCAATAATGCAACGGACATATGTGCATATAAAATGACAAATTTAAAACCAAAACGTAACTGTAAAGGGTATTTTGTGACCAAATTTTTGAAGAATAATAAAAGGCATGATAAATCAAGGAAAATTCAAAGGCAAAAACCTGAACTCGAAAACAACACAAATTCTAAAAAGTGTAAGGTAGAGTACGTTTATGATGAAAACGTCATAGATCCTGAAACTGAAAAAGTGGAAAGATACTTTTATGAAGAATTTACTGCCTCCAGACCAGCTCAGAAACCTAATCACATTTTAGTTCGAAATAGTAGCAACATATCAGGCGACCTATCAGTGTCTTCACCAAGTACTCCTATCAGTTCGTGTTCCAGTTCAGAGGACAAACGGGTCAGGGCTAAAGAAAAATATTCTTTGATGAGTGGACTTCGTAGAATACGGGAAGCAGAAACAATTATTGACACAACTGTTTCAGCGACTTGTAAGAAAAACAACTCGCGGAATGCTTTTGTTTTTCGCGACGAACGGAGTAGCAGACGACAATCAAATATGTTTAACTTCAAAAACAGGATCAAAACTATACGCCAAAGTTCTGCCTTGACAAAAGAAATAAAGGCGGCACGACAACTTGGTGTTATAATGGGGGCATTTACTTTATGCTTCCTACCATATTTTATCTTATTCCTGGTTGTGGCATTCTGTGATGGTTGTATTGATCAAGGATTATTATTAGCGATGACATGGGTGGGTTACCTAAATTCCACTCTGAATCCGTTTTTATATCCTCTATGTAATGCGAATTTTAGACGTAAATTTAGGATAATGCTTGGTATCAAATCAAAACGTGCCAGGTATAGAAAACGAGATTGTTATGACAGAAATAGTCTTACAACAGCAAGATACGACTGAGACATTTGAAGAAGAGAAGGGAAATATTTATTTTGGAATAATTTATTGCTGTTGTCTATAGATATGTCTTTATTTTCATACTTTACGTTAATGAAATACTATTGAATTCACTATTTCAGAAAGCACAAAAATAAAAACATTATTAAAGAGGTATAAATACATTCAAATATAAATAAAGAAAGTTAAAGCTTTCTTAATATCCGTGCAATGTTCCGGTTTTTTATGTCTTCATTTTTTCATTTCTTTTCAAAAATATTTTAATAACAATAAAACTAAAAGGAAAAAAATGAATGTTAAATGAATTATTTACTTTACAACTTCAATACTTTTAAAATACAAATATGTTGCTAAAAGCTAAAAATGGCGAAGTACAATTATCAATTTAAAATAAAATAAAGTTAAAGGTCAGTAAATTGTTATAAATAACTTTTATATATTTCTTTCAGAATTTCTTTTTCCATATATGATATGAGCATTACTTGAAATATCACATCACTTGATACTTAAGTTCATTGATCTGTTATTCTATTTTTGTAAAATAATTGGAAATATACAATTGATAATTCAATGTCTTTTGACTTATAAATGGATGTTTTCTTTTTGTGGTTTTAATGTTCATTTATAATTGGAATAGATGAAAGTGAATAATTAATGCATTACTTGACATTAAAAGAGAACTTACGATGTTTTTAAACAAACAAATGGCCCTGTATATAATTAAAACTTATCGAAAAAAGTAATCGGCTGTATATAACATTCATTAAAAGCGTGTATCTTCATTTTGCTTATTTGGAAAATACAATGTGCTTGGTTGTGTGTGTCCTTTCGTCTTAATCATTTAACAAAATGGAAAAGGTAAGTAAAAAGAAAGAAAGAAACGAATGACAATATTGAAAATTAACAGATATTATTACGCGTTGTAAGTTAAAATGTCAACACAACACCGTTCAAAGAACTCAACCTGTGAATATACGATTTACTTGCACATCAAATCGTAAATCAGTGTGTATCTAAATATGTGCTATTCATTATGCATACAAAGAGACAACTTGATGTGAGATTAAACATAAAGTCAGACAAGATATCAGAAAACATAGAATTGATTTATTGATTTTTTCAGGAAACATATACCGTTGGGTCCGTTTTAGCATTTAAGAGGTTGAGCAGCAAATCACATTGATATTATTAGTCTAAAATTCAGATATCTTAGCGTTTTTATTTACAAAATAAATGTGTATTTTCGTAATATCATTTAATCAATGAACTTAAAGTACTAATAACCAGCGCAGCTAGAGGCACACTATACGTTTTAAATTATCTTTCTCGAGAGTCTTGAAGAGGTTATTTCAGTTATTTTGTCGGTGCTCTTTTATATCTGTACAAAGGTCAAGGAGAGCGAAAGCAGTCAAATGGAAAATGTTTGTTTTTAAAATTTTTATACACGGATTAAATTCTTTAACACGAAATCGCAGCTGCTTCTTATAACATTTCAAAGTATTCTATTTGATTTTATTTTTAATTCAGCACCTGTCACATAACTCAATCATCTGACATTTAATTCTGTATATCTACAATATTCACAATAAAATTTTTGTTTTCGTTTTGTTTTGTTTTGGTAAATGGATCAGTTTTGAAATGCGTACCGATTTGTACATACCACAGTTGTAGAGGTTTTGCTGGTTCAAATAAACCAATTCAGTACTGATTTTCTGTTGTAAATTTATACGCGTTCGATGTTATTTTTAGTATTTTCATGCTATAGCTCTGATGTTTAAAAGTCCGTCTACTTTGCTTGTTTTACTAATAAGTCACTTCAACAAAGCAAACATTTTTATTATTTTGGTAAGCTCATTTTATCATTGATTTTATTTCAAGTCCATTTTCTGCCGAAATGCGCTTTTTTTACAAAAATCAAATAAGTGAATAATAGAAAACCTCTGTGAGACTAAATCGGGCAATTAAACACCATTTATTGGAAACATAAATGTCACTAAGTATCTATTTTACAGGAAAGGATACATTAACACCACTTAGCAAAAGGATATATAGGATATATCACTGATTTGAAGAAGTTATATGCTTCCTTGTAGTAATTATTTGTCTTTACTTCTGGCAGCTTTAGTTAAGTACACTCGTAAATTACGAAAAGACGAGAACTTGTGTTATTGAAGTCAATTGTATATGCATTCAGTCGTAGGGAAACTATTTGTATTAGGGCTTCGCCAGACATGCCGGTTAGAATTATCTACGCTGGGTTGATCAGTTATTTTTCATTAATTATTTCTATCTTTATATTTATTATTTACCGTTACGTTTATCTAGTTCTAGTCGACTATCAGTCAGTTAACGGGAAATCCTAACTGACGAATTGAATTCAGTATCAAGCATAATAGGAATCATAAACACTATGTGTCCTCGAAACAAATCAAAGCTGAATCATATGGTATATAATTGCAACAAACCAACGAATGAATGCATAGGTATAAGTTTAAGGTCGTTAGTTCTCACTGCTGATTCAGAAACCATGTTAGTTAGGATGTCGGTCATTTGCATAGAATTTTGTAATAACTAGAACTGTATTGTTATTCAGGAAAGCGAGTAAGTTGGACTTGTCGCAGAGATGACTAGTCAATTATATTGAAAAAAAAAGCGTACGATACTATGCAAACAATCACACAAATCCGTATGATTTAAGTTTGGTTTCTTTGTCAGGTACCTAAATAATATATTCAAATAACATACAAAGGTACACGCGCGTTCACAATTTCTTACTTAAATCATCACTTTATATTATAGTCTATGTAGATTTTGTATTTTTGTTTAAACAACGGAAGGTAAAATAGTTTTAATTGTTAAATTCAATTTCAATTTCGAAATAATCAAAACTACCGATACATTTAACAATATTATGCGCTTTTTGAAGGTTACAAAGTTTAAAGTACAGAATTATACAAATTCGAATATTTATAATTGATCATTGTACCAGAATTGCATAGATGCTGGTATTCAGAAAGGTAACTGTAAGTATTTTTATAAGTGACAAAACTATTTCCAAATGGTCTAGTATGATAAACGGAAATATAGTATAATCAACAATCTAATTGAAATAAAAAAAAAAACACCAAACGCATGTGTTTGAGTTGTAATATGTATTCTACTATAGAATAGCGATAAAAACTATATTTCTACGAAAACATGGCTTTTTCAAGTTTAAAATTATGAGTATATAAAACAACGAAATATAAATGTAATATGAGCAAATTCTATTTTTTTATTTACCAATTTTAAAAGAAGCCTTTGTAATTTTACTGTACCGCCAAGACTAATACCATCTATTATTTATTACCTTTTCAATATAAGGCACATTTTCACTTCAAATGTAAGGCTATTTATAATATTAAATTCATCACGACATTATGAACATAAACAAGTTATTAAGCAAAAATACGGCCTATAAGAGAAAGCTCGGCTATCATGAGATTTGAGAATTTTTATTGGCTCTCCAGCTCGACCATTATGAATCTGCTTTTTTCAATTGAAAAAGTAGCAATTTTGCTGCTTGGTAGGTTTCCGATATATTTTTAAAACAAGAATCTCATTTGCAATCCCTCACGACAACGGAATTTCATAATTATCATTTTTTGTTCACTAAGTACTTAACTTTTTTTAGATAATGTGTAGTTAATTCATTAAATTGTCAAAAATTGAGTGTTTTTAAAATGGCTTTTTATTGGGATTTGGACTTTTATATTAGCCTTCGGCCTTTGGCGTCAGGCTAATATGACAGTCTTTAGCAATTATGTCAACACTTAATTATTAACATTATAGAACAAATTTAATTCAATGATAATGCACGCACATTCAATGAATTTGAACTTTATGCAAAGAGCTTAAGATAAACGTTTTCATTAACGTTTATTAACCCTTATAATTACTACAGAATTAAATACAGAAAACGTCTATGAATACAAAGTTGAACATCAATTAAATTGAGCATATGCTCTAAATTAAAATATTAATCTTAATATTTGTACCATATGCTCACATCGTCATAATTTTTTTCTAAGAATTCTTGGGCATCAGACTTTCTACAGACATATTGTAATATTTACATAACGTACAGTTAGTTATATAAAGAAAGTCAGTCAAAGAAACTTGATACAAAATTTAATATGAATAATTATGGAGGTCATTCGTTGCCAAAGCTCCAGGCTTTGAAACTTGACAATTCATACCTTTTAGATTAATTACTCGTCAAAATATAGTTGTCGATCAGAGAGTTACATACTGTACTGTATTAAGCGTTACGATTATCTCGATTTGACAAAATTGAAGCTGGTAACATGCAACTAAGATAAAATATAATCTGTGTTTAGAAATGTATAACAAACTGTCTTTAGAAATGTATAACTTGCGACATGTAGACCTGTACACGATAGAACGTACACAACACGTTTTATACCGTACGTCATGACGCTGAGAATGTAACTGTAACAGTTTATATTCTCAGGCTGACAACACCACAATTTCCTTTTACATGCTAACGCGATTAACATATGAAAAAAGGTTTTGTAACTTCCATAAATGGCATTATCACGGAAAAAGACGAAGATTGAAAGGCGGAGCCAATTTTCACGAAAGCAGAATATAAAGAAAGGTAACTCTTACTGTACAGTAAAAATGAGTACAAAACTATTTCGAATTAAATAAAAAAGTTATTTTTGTCACATACATATACTGCATTATAGTTGACTTTGAATATCTTCTGATTTTGTTAAAACATATTCCAGCACATGATATGCAAGTTATACAAAAGTTATTAAAATATGATTTAACGGTACGAATTGTTGAATTCGTTCACGGAAGTATTCGTACTGATTTGTTTTACATTTAGCAGTCAGTACTAGAATGCGATACATTTGGCAACATAAATAAAGATAACTGAACCGTATGTGCCTTTTTTCTTTGAAGGACTCTATCAGATTGTAGAAATGTTTGACCGAGTGTATAACCACGGAACTATACACAGTTTTCTATTGATTATTCCGTGGTATGACCAAAAACTTGTGAATTTGTCCCATTTAAATGTTGAAATAAATATTCAGTGTATCCTTCCAACTCTGTTTACATCCAATGGAAGATATTTCGAGTCATAGGATGTGGTTAAGCCTTTCACTATTAAATATATGTAAGCCGATGTAGCTTATGATCTTCAGCGAATCCCCTTTTATGCATTTTAGTAAATCAATGACAACTCTAGATCTATGTATACATGCTGTCAACAGCTTTAACCAAGACTTGCTGTCTTTTTTATCAAAAGCAGAGAACTATTTTTATGTACAAGAAAATACTATACAGAATATTTATTAATATTTACAAGTTTTGGTTTTCTTAAAGATAAAATAAACAAGGTATACATAAATTGATTATCAACGTACTTACCTTTGGACTCATTCAAATATTACCTTAAAAAAGATCAAAGACAATTGGCCGGTTGCATTTTAATTTTTTAATATTCAGCTATTTCAACTGTATTGTAAAAATGAATTTTTTAGTCTGGATTAACGTTTTTGATGTTTATAATGAAACAAA